CATTTTTCAATAATAAAGAGATTGTAATATGGAATGTTAATATTTTGTTGAATAAAATAGGTTGCGCTGAAAATGTTATAAGAGTTTAAGCCGATAGAGCCTTGGATTACCAAGTATAAGAAAATAAGTATAAAAATGAAAAAAATGTTATGAACATATATAAGAAATACAGTTACGCCTGTTAATGTCATGTGTCACTAAGAAATATGTTGCGATCTTTATTGTTAATATATTTATGAATAAAATAAGTTGCTCCCAAGAATGTCATGGTCCAATAAGAAAGCATGTTGCAATCTGAAATCTTAATAACTTTAATAATAAAATAGGTTGCGCTAAAATTTTATCAGAGTTTAAGCTGATGGAGCCTTGGATTTTCCTACGATAAAAAATAAGTTAAAAACTAAAAAATCTTATGAACATATATAATAAGTATGATTGTACAAAACAAATATCGAATTAGTCAGTATCGATACATAATATAATAGTATCAATAATTTTAAATATTAAAAAGTTGAAGTTAAGATCGAATGTTAAAATATCAATACTTATGCGTTCTTTACTGATACTTTTAAAAATTGAAAATGAAAACGATGATAAAAATATCGAAATTTAAAATTAAAACATATGAAAAGTCGTAAATCGTTTGAAAAGCCTCACCAATGAAAAATTGAAAACATTGATAAAAAAATCAGTAATTTTGGAGAAATGGTGGGTGAATCGTCACCTGGGCAGGACCACTGGAAACAAGAACATTAAATCATTTCAAACTCAATTAATGGTAATTAAAAAATGTGAGGTCCCATTGAAATGTTTGCAATAAAAGGTTGCGAGGACAATTATAAATTTTGGTTTAGAGTTAAGGTTTGTAGCAATTATCTCTTTCAAAACAACAGAAAAAAATTATGTGTAATATTGTTGAATCAATCCCAAAGGAATTGTTATAGAAAATTCTTATACATATGGCGTGTAATTCAATCGTCGATTTCAACAATATTCGGTTGAGTCGCAAGACTTTTATTGAAGCTTCAAATCACAACTACATGTATCATAACGTTTCAATGAAGAATATCGACATCATTCTATGGACTCAAACCAAGATAAGTTTTCAAAAAAAATGCAAAGCTAGTAATAATCCTGAAGCATTATACAGAACATGTTTGTATGCTTATTTTAGTAGAAAGAACCAGGAGTACGATATGCATGTGTTAACTTCCTAAAAAGGCTACTTTTAAGGCCTTTTTCACTTAAGTTATTATTTGTTTAAGAGCTCATTTTAGTCATTTTAGGACCATATAGTTGCATATAGTTGCATTTGTGGTGGTATTGCTATTTTATCTCTTAAAGGTGTTGAATGAGAGAAAGGTACAGTTGTTTGTGGTATGCAGAGAATAGCAAGCAAAAGGGTCTCTTTGGGAAGTAATGTTGTGGCATCACACGTTGCTGAATCAGATTGAAATGCCTTGGCATTTCTGGTACAAAAAATGACAAAAAGGTATAGTTGTACGAGGAGCTGGTTTTGTACGTGAAATGATTGCTGAAACTGCCTGCCAGATGACCACTTTCACCTGGAGGATAAGGTTCACTTATATGGTGTGATTCTAGGGGTATTTTTCACCCAACATCACCCAAAAACCTCGTCAATACCCCTAGATATTTTTATTATAAATGACACCTCACAAGGGAGAGAAAAGAGGGGGCATACGTAGAGCAGAAAAATCCCATTTTTATTTTCCTTTTTCCTTCTTCTTCTTTGGGTATTCCTCCATTGATAAAGCATCAAGGAGTGGCGAGCTAGGCGTCCGAGAGGAGCTAGCGAGCTAAGGCGGTTCGTGGTGGCCGAGGAGATCTCCGATGGCACGCGTCGAAGGCTTCTTCTTACTTTCCTTTGTGTTATTTTCTATTTATTTTTTTGGGTTGTTGGAACGAATATTTTATGGCTTGTTCTATGAATATTTCGAACCCCACCATGAATTAACTTATTTGGTAGTGGTTGTTTTAATGGTTGTTTAAACTTTATTTTAATGGTAGATTTATGTGTATCTTGGTCATTTGCTTGCTTTGCTTATGAATACTTCATCATCTAGGCTTATAAGAGGCATGAGTGTCCATTTCTTAGATGAAGGTTAGATGTTCGAGAGAAACCTAAGCTAAAAATACTTGTAGTATTTAAGAGAAACACAAGACAAGATCCTCATAAGCAATGAGCTATAGTATTTTCAAGGGGCTTTGAACCGACCTAGGAATACTATATCCTAATCCCTTAGTACTCAAGAGAGACTAGGATAGGATATCAATGACTAAAAAGGGTGTTTTTATCAATAGTGTGGGCTGCCAACATCGTTGAGTGAAAGCAGATGTTTTGGCATCATATTCTGTTAGGTACCTTTGACTAGAGATAACGGGAACACTTATGGAAAATCCTGTCGAGTAAGTAAAGATTAGATAGCATAAATCTGCCTGAGATACAAGTTTAGCATCCTTAAATCAATCCCTACCATTCATTCTAGTGGAAGCTTGTCGTGTGAGCATTATCTACTTATAATTTATTTGCTGTTTATTTACTATTTTTACCATTTTTCATTGCCTTGACATTTCATCATTTTCAACATTAAAAATCTACTTTTACCACCGTATTTCCATTTGCTACACCATCAAACCATCAATCCATATCCACCAGCATACACATTTTCATTTGTCGTGACATTTATATATCAAGACTAACTATACTTAGATAGAATATTACATTGCTTTGGTTAGACTTTTGTAATTTCACCCAATCCCTGTGGAGACGATACTCACTCATCACTTTATTACTTGAGAGATTGTGTATACTTGCACATTATTTGCGTATAATTTTATAGTACTCAAAGTACACGAACAACATTGTTTGAAGAAACCAGCCGATAAAAGTAATAATAAAGACATATATGTCTATAACATGTTTCAAATATGTTCTGGAGTTGAAGAATTAAGAGAATAAGGACTTCAAATCATGAAAGATTTGAATACCACAAATTATAAGAAAATACATTTCGAAAGTATTTATTTAGAGACTCGAAAGTTTGTAGGCCTAATGTTGTGGTACCGCAACAAGATCGAGGTTTTCACTCCAAAACTAATTGATTACTTTGTGATAAGAAGAACTATCATCATAACTTAGTCGACTAAGTTTGGCAACAAAGGGCCAACCTCTGTAGTTGTTATGTTATTGTTTTTGGGACCATGAAGCAACTTTATTTTGTAATTTGGTACAATCTGAGTTTGATTTTTAATTTAAATAAATATTGGAGTTTTACTCTTCTGATTTTTTAAATCGCCTTCCTTTAATCACTTATAGAACATGCATAATAAATAACATTTTTTAACAAGTTAATCACCATTTTCTCCGCTTCCTTCACTCTAATATTTTTCCTCGACAAAGTAAGAATATCATACACCCTTACTTGCTTCAAATTCAAATCCAACACCACCAAAAACCAATGGCTAGCACTTTCATTGATAAAATGATCTTCGCAATTACATGTCATAGGTTATTAATCATAATACAATATTTTTTATAAGTCATGAAATTGAACAAATAAAAATGTGTTTTCTCTTATAGTATCACAATCGGTAACTTTTGTATAGTCTCTGAACATAGCATTATAAACCTTCGCAATATGCTTATAATGTACTTTCTTACCTAAAAGCATGGTTACTTACTAAAAGTGCATAGATGGGCCCATTGGTTGCTTCATCCTTCCTTCTGTCTCATTGGTCTTTCGATCCTCTAAGTCATCTTCTTCTCGAAAAACAACCAACATGTTGTAACCTCAAATGTCATTCATTTTTTCCTCAAACAATTTTTCTTCCGTTGATACCATATTCTTCTTCTCATTCCTTTTCATTCTTTACAATGTAGATTTCAGCAATATTTTTTGTAATAAATAATTATGTAAAATGTATCTGCATTCCGTTTCATAACTATCATAACTGATCATTATAGTAACCGATCATCTACAACCTTATTTTCTTCCATTCAACCTATAATGCTACATTCTACTTGTTTTACTAATCCCACTACTTTTCTATTTCTTCAATCTATACCATTAATTGATCCATTAGATTACATCTTTCCCCTATAAATTATACGCTAATCCCTAAATTATAATTGGTTAATTTAAAAAAAATCAAACTAGGGTTTCACGAACATATATGTATGTGCTTCAAATTGGGATTTCAGTTTTGTTATTCTCTTATTATAGACTTTACCTTCCCGAAACCAAATATGTTTTCTATAAATACTCGATACTTTTTCCTTTGTACCGAAATATGTGGAAAAGTTCGATACTTTTCAAGCCTTCTCGATTTCCTTCCTTTTTAACATTTGAAAATATCAATACTTAGGGTAAAAGTTTCGATATAATCAATTTTCAACATAAAATGTCCTATTTAGAAATTGAAAATGTTTTTCGTTAATATAATAATATTTGTTGAAATTAAAAATGTTTCCCTTCTATCGGTTACAGAATAAGTTAAAACCCATCAATGTTATTAATATAATTAACATTTACGGTTGTGCCAGAAAATGTTACTAGATTTTAAGCTGATGTGACCGTATTCATTCACACGACAACATGATAAGTTCGTTGCTAGTTGAAGATTAGGTTGAGATCTGAAATGTTATAGATTTAGAAAATATCGATATTCTTGAAAACTATTATCGATGCTTATTAACAAAATAAGTTACTCGGTTATGCCATTTAAATTATTTTAACTTCCTTGCAACCTAATATATTATACTTAATTCAATATTTTCGGTAGCTCTAAACTTATTTTATTAAGTTCCTTTTAAACTTTTTGATTACGTCGTTTTTTAACTGTAAATTTTTCTGACGTTCCTTAGAATCCCTCGTCAGAATAGACTTCATACTATAATACCATAATAAAGTACAATATTTTTGACAGCAAATATTTGAGATCCATTAATGAGATTAAGATGTTTCTGAATTGAAGTCGAATGACAATGAAATGTTGGAGAGATTCCAACAGATTAGAGAAATTGGAGTAGATGGATAGGGATGTTACGAGTGAAAGTGTTGGTAATAAATAGTGGCTTCCAGGTTCACATTTTCTTCTGCTTAAAGCAAGACTGAAGTAAGAATATGTTTAAGATGGCAAATGCATAAATGGAGTATAGAAAGTGGTTTGGATCTTCACAAACCCTTGAAACGTTTTCCACTAAGTGGTAATCATAATAATACTTTTTATTTGGTCCATCAAAATATCTTACGATAAACATTAGAATATCATTACTTGCAATATATTTGATCATGAATCTTTAAAGATAACAATCATCATTTTTATCACCGAGACTATTTAGTTGGTACGATTCCGAGTTATAGTTACTCATGTGAAAGTATAATTCTAGGGTAAAGTACACAAATGATCCTTCAATTATAGGATGTTACTTTGCTGAGTTCCTTAACTATTAAAATTTGTAAAATTGTCCCCCGACTATAATGTGTTACTTTATTGAGTCATTCGACTATTAAAAATTACAAAATAATCATTTGATTGTTCATATATTTCAAACTCGTCTTTTTTCGTTAAAAAGCTGACGACCGTTTGAGTTGGACGTTAACATATTGTCGGGGATATGATAAATCTAATCCCATAATTGTTTGAATAATATAGTTGAGATTCTGAGATCATATTATATTATATCTCGATCAACATATTAAAATCTTGCTCAGACGTTATCTTTTTAACAGAAAAAACGAGTTTGGAATATAAGAATAGTTGGGTGATAATTTTATAACTTTTAATAGTTGAGAGACTCAACAAAACAACACTATATATTTAAATGATCATTTTACAACTTTTAATAGTAATGAAATTCAACAAAACATCCTTCAATTTATTTCAAAATCATTGTATATTTTACGCTTAAATTTCTAATCGTGTAAGCTAATAATGATGAAAATGAAGCCTATGATGAAACAAATAAAATCTTAATAAAGTCACTATATATGCCTCAAATTTAACTCGCAAAATAAGGAAAAGTTACTTCCGTTATGACCAACCCGGGATACGAATCTTCTTGTATACAATGGGAGAAAGTGATGTTTCTATCGGTTCATCGACAGTAGTATCAATGGGAGAAAGTAATCTTACTATCGGTTCATCACGGGAAGTAACGTATCTAGAAATTAAAAATAAGAGTTCAAAAATTTTAATATTCATTTTTTAATAAAATGTGTGTAAAGTTTTAATATTTTATTATCTTCTTTCTATGATATATTAAGTTATATTTAATTATTTATTCAAAATAATAGGTATGTACTTGATTCCTAAAAGATCAGATATATCTGTTTCTAACCATGAGGAAAATGAGGATATGTGAAAAGAATTTTTGTGTCGTATCAGGACATGAAGTTTAAGTCATAAATTTGAATCGAGAGCGAAAACGAAATCGATTTGTTAAGTCATTTTCATTACAAAGATTATTTAACTAATGGAACAATGGTTTGTTTTTATTTATTTATTTTTATCAACTTAATATTATGGCCATGCGGGCATCGTTTTCAATCTTATTCAGATCGTGTAGGAAGAATAAGCTTGCCCGACTGATCTAAACGCTCCTTGAGGGTCCTTTTTCACATAAAAATAAATAAATTCTATAACTTAGCTTAAAATGTTGAGTCACACTAAGCATTATCGTTTTGGTTATTTTTCATTTCTTATGAATTTAGGGTACATGACTATTAACTATAAGCCTATATAACAGATTGATGTACAACTGTTAGACAAGTCATTGGCTGTAAAATATATATATATATTATGATCCATTCGTATAATGTAAATATATGGTTAAGATTGACTTGTTTTTTCCCCCAATAAATATCTTCACATTTCCTACTTTTAATCTCAGTCTATTTTCACTCATTCAATGATCTTAAATCTGTGTAAAACTAAAAGAGTTTTACATTATGTAACAGGATCCTATCCCTTAAAAATTATATGAAAAATCATATAGTTAAAATAATAGTTTTTAATAAAAGAATCATATAATTTTTAATTAAAAATTCTTGATTAAAATTAGCATGAATATTTTTTATGTAATAAAACCATTAAATAAAATGCGTTTTCACAGTTAATAGTAATTCATTTAAAACAGTGTTTAAGTTTAGTTACTAAGTAGAAAAAAAAGATAAAATAGTTAAAATGCTAAAGGGAACATCAAAACGAAGTGTTGTATATTATATATATTATGAAAGTGAAACCTATGTATTAGAGTAATACAGTCGTGGCTAGAGATATTTATTAATTAAGTTTAGGATTTAAAAATGAGGAATTAAAGATTATTTACATTTGGATTGAATTGTTATCCCCATTTATAAAAGGGTTGTAATAAGATCGCCTTTTTGTTTGGTTGAAAAGAATTGCTCAAAGTATATATCAAAAACGAAATATAGTACTTGAATCGAACTTCAATAAATTTTTAATGAGAATAGTTGTTTGCTTACAAGTAAAACAATTGAATTCAATTTAAATATATTTAAGAATAGATCACCTTAAGCGCCGTTTACAAGCGAAGTTAGGCCGGAATAATTAATTAATAAAATATTGATACTCCACAATTATTTTGAAATTTAAGTCATTTGTTATAGTATGTGAATGTGACGAGTTTCATAAAATATATTGAGAAATATAATTTATTATACGAAATAGATCAAAATTGTACGGAATACGTTACCTTCACGTGACAAGTTTCAAATTCAACATCTCCATATGATGAATTTCACGTGCACTGTTGACATTTATATTCATATCTTTTGTCGAGTTTTTTGGTTAAATTTTTAACATTTTTCATATATGACGGATCCATATACATCTCAAGTGAATTTATGTGTTCCATAATTATAGAAAAATGTCTTATTTGATTTACGGCTATAATTATAAATCTTTACTATAATTTAAGATATTTATTATTTTAATAAAATTAACAATTTGTATAAAAATAATAAATGTATATTTTAATTGTTTGTAGGCATAAATATCCCATTTACATTCTTATTTCTAATAATTAAAAATAAATATGCAAAAGGGCAACAAGTAATTTAAACAAAAGATAGGGGTAATGTGATAAAAGTGGGAGTATATATTGTTCAGTCTTTCAAAGGGGAAAAAATGCAGTGGGAAAATCTTCAATAAGAAAAAAAAAACAGATTGAATCCAAAAAAATGGCATTGAAACTGAATGAGATGAGTTTTGAATCCCCAAAACTCCCATCTGTTGCTCTTCCAACAATGGCCAGCTTTGGACCTCCCAGGTTTTCATGGCCTCCGTTCTTCATTCTGGCTTCAAGTTTGATCTTTCCTTTTCTTTTTGTCCGGTTCTTCAAGTTAGAATTTATTCTTTTCAGTGATGACGTGTTGTATGACAAGAAATCGTTTATTTGAATCCAGGAAAGCTGAAACTTTGAAAACAACTTTGGTGCCTCTTCGGGAGGTGCAAGTTCCGGTTAAGCATTCAATGCCACCAGAAAAGATGGAGATCTTCAAATCATTGGATAACTGGGTTGAAGACAACATTCTAATTCACCTGAAATCACCTGAGAAAAGCTGGCAACCCCAAGATTTCCTTCCGGATTCAAAGTTGGACGGATTTTACGAGCGGGTGAAAGAGTTGAAGGAACGGGCAAAAGGGATCCCGGATAATTATTTCGTGGTTTTGGTTGGTGATATGATCACGGAGGAAGCACTTCCAACGTACCAAACCATGCTTAATATAACTGATGGAATTAAAGATGAAACAGTGCGAGTCTTACTTCTTGGGCAATTTGGAATAGGGCATGGACGGCTGAAGAGAACAGGCATGGTGATCTTCTTAATAAGTATCTTTACTTGTCTGGACGAGTTGATATGAGACAAATCGAGAAGACGATTCAATATTTAATTGGTGCAGGAATGGTAAGAAAGGTTCTCCTTAGTAGGGTTATGATTTTCCCTCCAACTATAACTACCAAGTACAAAATCAAAGAATGTGTTTGAAATTTGATTAAATAGCTGTTTTGATTTATACTTTTTTTTTAAAATATTTAGATTCTATCGTTTTTCTAAATTAAATTTTTTAATATTTGACTAAATAATTACTTTGATCTATATTTTTTAGTATTTAGGCCCCACAACTTCACATTTTGCATAAAAAACCAATATTTTAGAATCTTAACTATTTGTTGGTTAATGGTTTTTATCCGGGGATGATATTTTTTCCTTCTAAAATGAGATGTTTGAAGGGTCAAAATGTTTAAAAAAATATTCAAAATAATTATTTAGTCAAATGTTATGGTTTTCTTATAAAGTTAAACATTGTGACCAAAATATTTCGGTGGAAAAGAATAGGGCATTTTAGGATAAAAAGGCTAATATTTTATAGCATTAATTATTTTTTGACTAAAAATTTTCATCTATTGATGGTTTTTTTTGTTTCAAAATGAGATGTTTGGGTCAAAATGCTAAATAAAATAATATAAGTTAAAGTGATTATTTAGTTAAATGTTAGAAATATTTTACCTTAAAATTAAACATTAGGCCAAAATAATAAAAATAAGAATAGATTTTTTTTATTTAATCTGAGATATTTGTGACATTATGACTAGAAACTAACCTCTTGGTTTCTTTTTCTTGTGAAGGATTGGAAAATGGAGAACAATCCATATCTTTCATTCATCTACACATCATTCCAAGAAAGGGCAACTTTCGTGTCCCATAAGAACACAGCCAAACTCGCCGGGGAGTACGGAGACACCGAGTTGGCTAAAATATGTAATTTCATCGCCGCCGACGAAAAGCGGCACGAGACGGCCTACACTAAAATCATTGAAAAGCTGTTCGAGATTGATCCCGACGAAACTGTTCGAGCTTTCGCTTCCATGATGAGGAAGAAAATCACCATGCCTGCTCACTTAATGTACGACGGCCGAGACGAAAACCTTTTCGACCACTTCTCGGCCGTTGCACAAAGGCTTGGGGTCTACACTACCAAAGACTATACCGATATTCTCGAGTTCTTGGTGGATCGATGGAAGGTGAAGGAACTTATCGGACTTTCAGCTGATGGACGAAAAGCACAAGATTATGTGTGTGAACTTCCTCTGAGACTCCGAAAGCTGGAAGAGAAAGCTCAATTGATAGCAAAGCGGGCACCTTCTATTAGCTTCAGTTGGATCTCATAGAAAACTGAAGCTCTAAGGGCATAAAATAAGAAGGATATATGTGCTTTAATTTACTGCGAGTCTTTTATGGTTCAAGGATTATAAAAGTTACCGAATATTTATAATATGTTGAATTTGATATATATATGTGTGTGTGTGTGCGCGCTTTGTTTGATTGTTCAAGGGTCTTTTCTTTAGCAGCTGATAAGGTTGTGTGATTATACTGCTGAAAATTCAATGAATTCTCTAATGTTCATAGGCCATCTCTTTTATTGCTAATGATCAGCTAATTTGGATCCAACAAGATAGAATATAGAGTGCCAGTGTATTCAATAAGCATGAGCCCATTATTTTGTCACAACCATCGATAGGGGCCTATATGGGATTCATTCCAATTGGAAGCCTTACACCGACTACTTGAGCTGTTGACCTGTAGAGTTGTAAGTTGAATCCAACCCCTCTTATCCCTTTTAAGTAAATTCTAAAATACACCTCATTAATACAAGGATAAAAAAGTGAATATCAGTTGCAATTGAAAATTTTATAGAAATGTAACTTTTTAAGTTAAATATAATTAATTTTTTAAA